CCAGAATTTCTGTTGCTAAGTGAGACAGCTGTTAAGTGAGATTTGCCCTATTTTACAACCTTTCTTACTACAGTTGTTAAGTCAATCACTGCAGTTGTTGCGTTAGTAACACAAGTGAAACTGGCTTCCCCGTCTGACTTTGCTTGTTAGAAGGTCACAAAAGGGCTGTCACAAACATGACTCTGGGACTCTGCAACCGTCACACAGGCATATCTGTTGCCAAGCATTCAAATTTTGATCATTTGAACCATGGGGATACTACAACAGTTGTTAAGTGTAAACAATGGTCCTAAGTCACTTTTTTCAGTGACGTTGCAACTTTGAAAGGTCACTAACGAACCGTTGTAAGTCGAGGACCACACGTACGGTGTTTTGGATTTGATTCAGAAAAAGTGATTCATCAACGTAGCATGCGTCTGAAACTCTTTAAGTGAGTCAGGCTCAGACAGGTGCCGTTTGCAGCCATTGGTACAATTTTTGGAATTGAATCTAAACTGCTGCACAGCTTTAATATACACGCATGCAAATGACTAGCATGTGGGTATATAAAAGGATTTTATTTGATGGGTTATTTTATCTTTTTGGCATTTATACTGTGATCATCCTTCAGCAAATGTAATTATGATAATCTCTGTTTTGCAATAATATTTGGAGAGAAGCGAGTTACATACCCACTGCAGCAATGCAAACTAAGCGGAGTCCTTTTTCAGTTTTTCAAGATTACCGATTGGTTTTGTCAGTTTACCTAATTTGGGGGAAGCAAATTCAATAAAAAGGCAAAAATATTGGAGGAAATATTTTTGTTGTTAGGTATTGTAATGGAAAATTTGGACGAAACAAAAGGAGGTGGCAGATAAATAGAGCCTCATAATTTGCTGTTAATAGGATTTTTGAGTCACCTGGTATGTAAGCTGTTCACTCCATTCCAGCTCTTGATATTCAGATGTTTATACCTCAGATCTAAATAGGTTGCTCAAATAATTTTGCCAAGCCAATTTAAAATTTCACTGATTTACTAGCAAATTGTTTTCCACAGTAGGTGTTTTCAGAGCATATATGAGCTGTGATTTATAAAGATAAAGGAGAAAGAGAGGAGATAAACTGATAGTTTATATGTCTTCCCTCTTCCCTACCTGCTATCTTTGCTTCTAGTTTGATTTAGCATTATACTGAACTTTATGATTAAGATGGATTGCGATTAGTTGGAAACAAGGATTTTTTTTTAATTAAAAAAAAATAGAAGCAAAACTTAAAACGTGCCTGAGGTTTTAGAAAGGGATGTTTTGAGACACCGGTATTTTTCTTGATTTGTTCCCATCTCCATGCACCATTTATTCCCTCTGGTTTACAGCAGAGATCATCAAGTAGAGGCACTCACAATGCATGATCATGTCCGTGGAACCCCCAAATTAAATATAAACTATTTTTGATAGCTATAGCAGGCAAGTTTTGCAAACTTCAAGTGAAAAATCAAGCTTTTCAAGATATTGTGTGTGCATACATGAGATTCTGTGCATTGCCAAAATCTCACAATATTTAAAGATTTTGCAACAGTTTCACCCTTGTTAGTGTTTAGTATTTTGGCACTCATCTCTGAAATATTCTGCTAAATCCTGGTTTACTAATCCTGATTACAGTGATTATAGGCATTACAGTTACTTCTTTGTTGTGGTTTAAAAATGCTTTATGTGTATCAAAACAAAATAGGCATGCAAAATGTCCCATCGTTGAATGTTTTTACCCCAAAATAAACTGTTCTGATTTTGGAATAAATTACTGTATTCCAAGTACAGGAAGTGCTCAGTTTACAACCAATTGTTTACCAACTATTCAGAGTTACAACTGAAAAAAGTTAATTACTTTTGTGTGATCATCATTTCCAACCTTCCCAGCCAACTTCCAACGAGCAGAGTCAAGGGGGGGAGGGGAGAAGCCAGATTCATTTGACAACTATGTGATTCACTTAACAGCTGCAATGATTCACTTAACAGTGAGGGCAAAAAAGGTCACAAAATAAGGCATGACTCACTTAACAATTGTGTTCCTTAGCAATTAAAATTCTGGTCCCAGTCATAGTCATATTACAGAAGGGGTCAGATCTCAAAATCAACCAATCCATGGGTCAGCAACTTCGTGGGACACTCAGATTGGTTCATTCCCTGGTTGGAATAGTCCAGTCTAGGGATGGAACATTGCATGACATTTTACATGTCCTTACTTACCGTATTTTTTGGAGTATAAGACGCACCGGAGTATAAGACGCACCTACCTTTTTTGGTTGTTGTTTTTTTAAGTTTTTTTTTTTTTTTTTTAGACAAACACACATACAAACATACAATGTATTTTCTTTGAACAGAGTGTTTGGCTGGTTCACAAATTTAAACAGTGTTTAGTCATTTTAATTAAATTTACAATTTCTATATTTTCTTTTTGCCATATTTATTCCTCATCTATTTTTTTAAACCAATATTACCCTTCATTCTCATCTCTAATCTTAATCAAATTCAAATTTTCCCTTCTATTCTATATTATACCCCTTCCCATTGTCATCTATTTTTATATCCATCCTTACATTGGTTAATTATTTAATATTACAATTGTTTAATACAAATTCAACATTTTTATATAAATCAATTAGTTATAACTATGTATTTTGTATATTAATCAATATGAACATGAATATTCCAATTATTTGGAATCCATGCAATCCAATTTCTTACAAATCAATTAATTATATTTACCAATAATAATAAACCAAATAATTTTCCCTATATATTCCTCCAAACCACAACTTAACCATTTCTGCTTTCAACACAATATACAATTAATAGTATCTCAATTATTACAATTCCCTAGTTAAATAGAGCTTTTTTTCTTTTGTGTTTTAAAATCTTGAACTCTCTTCTTTTGCCCTAAATTTCCCATTGTTTGCATCTACCTTTTTTGGTGAGAAAAAAGAAAAAGAAATCTCTCTCTGCCTCATTTTGTCACGTTGCAACAATGAACCTGCTTTACTTTCAGTTTCGTTTTTTCAGCATAGCTAGGGGTGGAAAAATCTGCTGCAGCACTTTTTGCAGCAAGCAGGAAAGCCCTGCGCAAAACAGCTGAGAGCAAATCAGCTGAGAGTCGGGAGGACGATCTAATCAACTTGTGCTAATTAACCTATGCTGAAGCTGAAAGGGGCTGTTTTTTCTTGCTGTTTACTTGCAAGAAGGTAACTGCTGCGAAGCACAGGCCAAAGGGTGGGGGCCAGTGGGTGGGCAGGGCTACATTCGGTGTATAAGACGCACCTAAATTTTCACCCCCTTTTTGGGGGTAAAAAGGTGCATCTTATACTCCGAAAAATACGGTAATACCTTAAGGGATGTGGTGGCTCAGTGGTTAAGATGCTGAGCTTGTTGATTGAAAGGTCGGTAGTTCAGCGGTTCGAATCCCTAGTGCCGCATAATGGGGTGAACTCCCGTTACTTGTCCCAGCTTCTGCCAACCTAGCAGTTCAAAAGCACATAAAAATGCAAGTAATAAAATAGGGATCACCTTTGGTGGGAAGGTAACAGCGTTCCGTGCTCCTTTGGTGTTTAATCATGCCAGCCACATGACCACGGAGACGTCTTTGGACAGCGCTGGCTTTTCGGCTTTGAAACGAAGATGAGCACCGCCCCCTAGAGTCAGGAACAACTAGCACATATCTACGAGGGGAACCTTTACCTTTACTTTACGTAATACCTAGCAGTTCAAAAGCATACAAGTGTGAGTAGATTAATAGTTAATTAATAGGTACCACTTTGGTGGGAAGGTGACAGCATTCCGTGTGCCTTTGGTGTATAGCCATCCTGGCCACATGACCACAGAAATTGTCTTTGGACAAGTCTGGCTCTCTTGGCCAAAAAAAATAAAGATGAACATTGCGCTCTAGAGTCGGACATGACTGGACAAGGAAATCTTTTCCTTTTTACTTAACACTTTGCTGCCCACTACTAAGATTGTCTTTTGAAATTGGCCATATAATCCTAAAATTAAATTAGAATTGGATGCATGGTGCTTTTTTACATGTGCATGTATTAAGTTAGCCCATATAAACTTCTTATTTGATTAGCTAGCTAGCTATGTTTTATTTTTAAATCATCAGCAAGGAGAATTGTAATTTTTTTTCATTGTAGACATGTTGGTATAATTTGAATGCATCCATATTTAAATATAATAATTTCCATTTTTGTATGTACTGTAAGGAGAATTAGGTACATACAAATTAATTTCTTTCCCCCTTCATCTAACAGAGGAAAATCTTTAAAAAAAATTCTTGTCCCATTACTGAAACATACTTACATCGTCATTCTTTCTTTTGTATTCACTGGACCCTGAATATACTTATTTAGAATTATTATTTTAATTTCTGTTTCTGTTAAGAATTTTGCTCCTGAAACTTTTTTTCCTGTACAAATCAGACATTCTAATTATGATTCTCCAATAGGTATTTTCTTGTCTCCTATCCTTAGAGAGGGACACAAAGTTCTTTTTTGTGTTAGGATGCTGAACTAATTGAGCTACGTTGAGTACTGCGATTTAGTTAAATGTTGTAATGGAACTTTTGTGATATTGTTTTAAAATATTAAGCTTAGTAAAGAATATGGAGAAGAATTTTTCAGTGAAATGCTGAAAAGTATTTTTTTTTCAGATACTCTATGCTAATTATCTTTTTCATTCAATGCAATGTGGTGAACTCATTAAATAGAGCTAAAATTGGTAGTTTTGATAATTTTGATGATGTACTGATACGTTTTATCTGTATATTATATTAAATATTTCTGGTATGATTAGTTAAAATTGTAGCAGTTTCCATATTTGTGAGTTTTCAACATAAATTAGAGACAAAGGACTGGAAGAATAGCCAGTTTAAAAAAAACACATAAGCTTTATTTCCACTGATAGTTTTAAAAATGGGTTTCATTTTTTTTTTTTGAAAGAAAAGGTGCTGACATAAAAAATTGTTTTGTTTTGCAGATTGACTCCTAAAAAGCTAACGTGACCATGGGAGATATGAAGACTCCAGACTTTGATGATCTGCTTGCAGCCTTTGATATACCAGATATGGTTGACCCAAAAGCGGCTATTGAATCTGGCCACGAGGATCACGACAGCCATATAAAGCAGAATGTCCACCCGGAGGATGATTCCCACGCACCATCCTCATCTGACGTCGGTGTAAGTGTCATTGTGAAAAATGTGCGGACAATTGATTCCTCTGAAGGAGCGGAGAAAGACAACCACCATTCCACAGGCAACGGGTTACACAACGGTTTCTTGACGGTATCAGCTCTAGAAAGTTATAATAAAGAGGAAGGCAAATCGCTCAAAGATGAGGGCTCAGTCTCAGAAAATACACTGAAAGAGTCTGCCTTTAACCAATTTAGTCCTATCTCAAGTGCTGAAGAGTTCGACGACGATGAAAAAATCGAGGTGGACGACCCTCCGGATAAAGAGGACATGCGTGGGAACTTCAGAACAAACGTATTAACAAGGTCTGTCTCCCAGCAGGACTATGAGAAGTTAAAAGTACTCGGAGGAGAAAACTTGATGAAACACGGAGTTGCAGGTCCAGGTAATTCTGAGAAACCCAAGGTGTCTAAAAGAGACTCGGAAACAAACCCATCACCTTTAGGTCACTATGAACCCTTTAAAGCTAGGAAGATAGACGACAAGCTGCTTAAAGAAAACTCGGAGAAACTCCTTGAAAACAGAGCGGTCGATGGGAAAATAAATCCGGAAAAAGGAGAAGCAACCCTTACCAGTCTTTCCCAGGCTAAAGCAAAATCCTCAGCAAAACTCTCTTCCTGTATTGCTGCAATTGCAGCTCTAAGTGCTAAGAAAGCAGCCACGGACACTGGCAAAGACCCACAATCCAATTCAAGGGGATCCTCTCCCTTGCAGAAAGATACCAGCGAAAGCCCCCGCGCCATGGACAAATCCCCCGAGTCTCAGAGTCTCATTGACTGTGCAAAAAAGCCCCCTGTCAAACAACCTGACAGCCCCAGGAGTATATCAAGTGAAAACAGCAGCAAAGGCTCCCCGCCATCGCCTGCAGGCTCGACGCCAGCCATCCCCAAAGTGCGCATCAAAACCATCAAGACGTCCTCGGGGGAGATCAAGAGAACGGTCACCCGTGTCTTGCCTGAAGTGGATTTGTTGGAAAGCGGTAGGAAACCAGAGCAAGCAGCTTCCATGGTGGCTTCTGTGACATCGTTGCTGTCTTCCCCGACTTCTGCCGCAGTTCTTTCTTCTCCCCCCAGGGCACCTCTCCAATCGACAGTGGTCACCAACGCGGTGGCTTCCGCAGAGCTCACTCCCAAACAAGTCACCATTAAGCCTGTGGCCACTGCTTTTCTCCCCGTATCGGCTGTCAAGACAGCAGGATCACAGGTGATCAATCTGAAACTTGCAAACAACACCACAGTGAAAGCCACCGTCATATCCGCTGCTTCGGTGCAAAGCGCCAGCAGTGCCATCATCAAAGCCGCCAATGCTATACAGCAGCAAACAGTTGTGGTGCCCGCCTCGAGCCTTGCCAGTGCGAAACTTGTGCCAAAGACGGTCCACCTTGCCAACCTTAATCTACTGCCTCAAAGTGCTCAGACCACCTCCGAACTCCGCCAAGTGCTCACGAAACCTCAGCAACAGATCAAGCAGGCAATAATCTCTGCAGCAGCTTCTCAGCCTTCGAAAAAAGTGTCTCGGGTTCAGGTGGTGTCCTCTCTACAGAGCTCTGTCGTTGAAGCTTTCAACAAGGTGCTCAGCAGTGTTAACCCCGTCCCAGTCTATATCCCAAATCTCAGCCCTCCTATAAACGCGGGCATCGCTTTACCCACACGTGGTTACAAATGCTTGGAATGCGGTGACTCCTTTGCCCTTGAAAAAAGCCTGGCTCAACACTACGACAGGAGGAGCGTGCGGATCGAAGTCACCTGTAACCATTGCACAAAAAACCTGGTTTTCTATAACAAATGCAGCCTTCTTTCTCATGCACGGAGTCACAAAGAGAAAGGGGTGGTGATGCAGTGTTCTCATCTGATTTTGAAGCCAGTTCCTGCCGATCAGATGATAGCTTCTCCCACCAGCAATAGTTCTGTTACGGCGTCCATTCTTCAGAATCCCACCGGAGTGGGCACCCACACCATAACGAAGATACAGTCCAGCATAACAGGGACAGTCATATCGGCTCCTTCAAGTACGCCTGTTCCACCAGCCATGCCTCTAGATGAAGACTCTTCGAAGTTGTGCAGGCATAGTCTGAAGTGTTTGGAATGTAATGAAGTTTTCCAAGATGAAACGTCTTTAGCCACCCACTTCCAGCAGGCTGCAGACTCAAGTGGACAAGTACAGTATCTTATGTTTACATTCCAGTATTTTTGCCGTGGGCAAAAAAACCTTTGGATGGGGGGGCTTTTTCCTAGCTTTCTTATAAGCGTTAACTATCTTTATAGCAAAGCAGTGGAAGGATGATTTTAAATTGGGAGGAATTGTTTGCAAAGTAGTTACTGCTTTGAAAGAACAAAAGTGGCTTGGAATTCCTACTTAGCCCTTTATTCGTTTAGAATATAAGGATATAGTTACCGCTTTAGATCTATACTGAAAAGTCAGAACTGAGTTATAATAGCCCAGAAACAAAAGGCAAAGTCAACTATAAAACAATAAAACAGTGTTTCTTAACCGTAGCCACTTTAAGAATTGAGAATATTCAGCTCCTAGAAATCTGAGAGTTGAAGTCCACACATCTTAAAGTGACCAAGTTGGGAAGCACTGCAGTAAAGCATTTCTGCAGGATTAGTGCAGAATCTCCTAATGAAAGTTATAAACAAAGCACATAAACTGACTCATTTTCCTTGTCTCTGTGAGTTTTGTTAGGATCTGGAAATGGTGTGAATTAGAAAAAAGATGCTAATGTTCTCTCCATGCCCTTTTCTGCATTTCTGCAGATTGTTCTTGTTGCTCTAAGCAAGTTTTTTTTTTTTTTTTAAAGGATGACAGTGGTGGGAATAAGCATTATGTAAATTACAGGTCAGGCCCCATTATATGACTAGTAAATTCACATATAACATTCTCCAGGATGATAATCTTAGATTATTAGATAAAAAATATGGTTTGGTCTAGTGGTTAAGGCATCAAGCTAGAAAATGGAAAGCAGTGAATTTTTGTCTCTCCTTAGGCATGAAAGTCGGCATGGTTACTTTGGGCCAATCACCAGGAGACTGTGAGTTCTAGTCCCACCTTAGGCATGAAAACCAGTTCAGTGGCTTTGAGCCAGTCACTCTCCCTCAGCCCAACCTACCTCACTGGGTTGTGGTTACTGAGAAATAGGAGGAAGAAGGAGTATTAGATATGTCACCACCTTGTGTTATTTATAAAAATAACAAAGGGAATATATAAATAAAAATAAAAGTGCAGAAAGCAACAATTCCTATAAATCCTAAAACACACAATAGAAAGGCACTATTTGAGAAATAGCTGTGTTAGAGGTTTTGTTGGCATCATTCCTGAATATGCCATGCTGGGCATTTTAAACATGGATAAATATGAGGGAACGAAAAGCAAAGTGACAGCAAAAGACAGTTCATCCTTTGCTGAGATTTAAAGGGTTTTTACATGTGACATTTGGTTTTGACAATCAAGAATTACTTAACACATTTTCTGTTTTTATAAGTACTTGAATTAATGTTGGCAAATTTTGCTATATACTCAATTTGCATAATGCAACCTTATTTATGGGAACTTCCTAATTCATCAATCAACTGATGTAACCATGCCCTTTTTTAAAAATCCCAGTTAAGCTTTTTCTACAAAATTTCCTTACTTTGGCCTTTAGTTTTCTCAGCAATATTTTTGCATGAAGTCCATGTAACAATATGTCTGCTGTGATATATAGGCTTGTCACTTTTTGGGGGGGGGGGGGGTGAAGTTGGCAATTAATAGTTACTGTTTCCTTTTACATGGCAGATTTTGTGCTTGGCTCAACATCTTCTATACTAAATGGGTTTTAATGGGATAGATGGAATAACTATATCCTCTACCAACATGGATTTTGCATTAAGGATTTACAGTGGTGGCAACAATACAAACGAAACATCCCAAATGCTTAATATATGTTCTTCCAAATAATTGACGTTTTCCACTTACTGACAACAAAAGAAGAGATAAGCCTATCTATCTATCTGTACTTCATTTCTTTAAACCTTCTCTGGCAGTTGACTGTCCAAGTAAAAAATGTGGCACAAGTTTTAAAAAGAGAAAATACTTTGAACGGTTGGATGGTATATGCAGAGGGGGGGGGGTGAAACTATCCAAGGCCTCTTGTATGCCTCAAAGGCATTTATGTTTCTTCCTGGTGAAGAAAAAGAATAAACATAGGTTCTCATTCTGCTTAGTTTTTAATTCAGCTTGTGACAAGTGTGGAAGGATGAGAACAATTCCATTTAAAACAAACGTTCCTGCAATTTTTCACTAGCATCCCTTGATTTCATATTTATTTATTTAAAACATTTATACAGGTAGTCCTTGACTTACGACCTCAGTTGAGCCCAAAATTTCTGTTGCTAAGCAAGACATTTGTTAGGTGAATTTTTCTCCCATTTTACAACCTTTCTTGCCATGCTTGTTAAGTGAATGGCTGCAGTTGTTAAGTTAGTAACATGTTTTGTTTACTGAATCTAGTTTTCCTATTGAATTTGCTTACCAGAAGATCTCAAATGCTGATCACCTATGACCCCAGGACATGGCAATCGTCATAAATATGAATCAGTTGCCAAGTGTCTGAATTTTGATCACATGGCCATGTGGATGCTGCAATGGTCATAATTGTGAAAAACAATATTAGTCACTCTTTTCAGTGCTGTTGTAATTTCGAACGATCACTAAATGATCTGTTGTAAATTAAGGACTACCTGCATAGCGACTCATCTATCAATCAACTCTGAGCAGCTCCCAATTAATATGTATCAGGGGTCTCCAGCCTTGGCAACTTTAAGACTTGTGGACTTCAACTCTCAGAGTTCCTCAACCAGCCAACTTGTCAGCAAAGCTGGCTGGCTGAGGAACTCTGGGAGTTGAAGTCCACAAATCTTAAAGTTGCCAAGGTTGGAGACCCCTGATATATAACATAAATAAAATTTATATAAACATCATAGGGCAGCTTGGCATTGGGGAAAAGCATTTATAAACTAATTAAAAGCTAAATATTTAGGGTAAGGAGGATTATTTTCTGGAATGCATTCTGGTACATCACTAGTGATTATACTCATGGCCAACAAAGCCTTGCCTATAATATTTTGCTTACATTTTTCCTTCTAGTAGATGGTAATAGTAGTAGTAGTAATAATAATTATGATCAGAATTTCTGTCACTATGCAATGCAGTCATAAAGCCCAACTTCTCGTGACCATGCTGCTTAGTGACAGAAATTCCAGCACTTCCAATTGCTGTTGGTAAGCAAATCCCATGAGTCATTAAGTGAGGATGTCATGTCGTCACTATTGGTAATCTCCTGCCGACTTCCCCATTGACTTTGCTTGTAGGAAGCTATCAAAGGACATCGCAATCATGTGGTTGGGGGTGGGGATTGCCATGATCAACATAGTTATGAGGACTACTTGTAAGTAACTACTCATTCAGTGCCATAGTACGTTCAAATGGTCCCTGAACAAGTGGTCATTATGTGAGGACCACCTGTATTTTTCTCTTTTTACACTTGTATAACTTGAGCTGGAGCTTCATTTATAGCAGGGGTGTCAAACTCGATTTCATTGAGGGCTACATCAGGGTTGTGTTTGATCTCGGGAGGCTGGGGTGGGTGTGACCAGGATGGGCATAGCCAGCTCAATGTCACTCATGTCGGGGGCGCCTATGGTGGCATGAGCGCTCTGCCAGCAAAAACGGGCTCCTGAGCTCCATTTTCGGCTGTGACGGCTTCCTGCAATCCTCTGCCAGTGAAAATGGAGCTTGGGAGGGCCACAGGTGCGGCCCTCTCTAGCTCCATTTTCGCTGGCAGAGGCACTGTGGGCCGGTCCTTTGCTGCTTCCAGGGCAGCCCCATGGGCCAGATTTAAACACCCACGGGCCATATGTGGCCCGTGGGCCTTGGGTTTCATACCGCTGATCTACAGACATATAGTTGCTTTATCAGCCAGCCATCTTCTGCAAGGGATGAATTCCTGAATAAATGTGATCCTCCAGAAAGCTAAAAGAAAGCAAACAGACATGCTGATAGCCTGCTTAGATGATTCATCAACTGTGTTGGGCTGATTGATGTGCAATTATGAAGAGAAATTGAAAAAAAGGGCCTCATAATGTATGAAAAGAGGGCGTTTAGATCAGGGGTCCCCAACCTTTCGGACCTCAGGGACCACTAAATTCATAATTTTAAATACCACGGACCATTAATATGATCTGCCTAATGACTGACTGGGTAGGTGTGGCTAGGTGGTCATGTGACTGGGTGGGCGTGGCCAACTTGATGTCATTTACATCGAGGGGCGCCTCGCCGGCCTCTACTCACCCCTCTCCTGCCACCACTCCTCACCTCTCCACCCAGGCTCCTTAGGCCTCCAACAGGAAGCAGTTGTTGGAGCTAAGCAGCCACCACGAGAAAGAGTTGGCAAAATAGCTGGCTCAGTTCAAATTGGATCTGACCGAGAAGGAGGCTCAGCAGAAGCACCTCACTGAGGACTAGGAGCATAGGCTTTCCAAGCAAAGGGAAGACCTGCAGGAGTGCAAGGCCAGGTACCAGCACCTGGAGGCTCAGTGAGCTGAGATGGTTAGCCAGTTCCAGGTCATGATGCAGTCCCACTGGAACAAGGCCCTCCGGCTCTTCGCCACCAGCAGCACTTCCCTCCAGACTTCGTCCAAAGCCCCACACCAGGAGGCTGAAGCAGACCCCTATTTGGAATTTCTGCTCCCCTCCGACCCACACAAAAAGACCCCGAAGGGGGAGACTCCATGCAGCAACACAAACGTTCATTGCACGTATCTGGCCGTAGTTTGAGGACCCCTGATTTAGTGCAATATAAAAAAATGCAAATAAAATTTCTGTGGCCCACCAAAATTTTCTCGCGGACCACCAGTGGTCCACGGACCACCAGTTGGTGACCGCTGGTTTAGATCAATTCTACATGGGACTCTTCCACTAGAAGGCTTTTTACAACCCTCACTCTCAAATGAAGTTATGGAAACTCATTTAGAATTTTAAGGCTTTTAAAGGAGAGATTTAGAAGTTATGATACAATACTATTTCATTTCCGAGCATTAATGCTTATAATAACTGGCCCCATGCTATTCAGGATTTTAACAATTATCTTAAAGACTACTTTGGGTTGTACGAAGCTCTTG